AATAGCAATCCTCAATAGCTTCAGTTTTCTGTCTAAAAAACTCCATTATCCTTCAGGGAGAGCTTGAGTGCTCTAACAAAATTCTGATAATCTTAGCCCCTAATTTTAGTCTACTATTTAATTTTGGGGCTAATTGTTAATTGATTAAATGATATCTTAAAATTCACTCTTCACTTCTCTATGCCATGGGTTGCTTGAGTGCCCTTCAGAATCACTAGGAGGGAGTGTAAAAGCACAGACTGCTGGGACCTGTCCTCAGAGATTCCATTCAGAGATCTGGGGTGGGCTAGAGAAAATGCATTTCTAACAAGTTCCCACTTTACCCTGTTGCTGCTTCTCTGGAGCCACACTTTGAGACCCATTGCATGACACAGATCTTGAGAGAAAACTGTGGTTAAAGGCCATGTATTTTGGCAAAGGAGAAACTGAGATGTAAACTTGTGAGCATGGAACCAACTGAGGCAGTTGGATCTTAAGAGGAGAAGCGGAGAAGACTTGAACCTGGCCATGGAGGCTCTGGGGATCTGAGGGTCTGGCCAGGGTTTGAACAGTTGGGCCTCCTGGTAGTGACATCATGAGATGGCTGGAGGGTGGCCCAGGCCCAGGATGCTTTCAGGTATGGGCATAATTAATGGGGCCCATGGGACTCATGCATCAAAACTGCCCCCTGGGCAGCTCTAGGCCAGTGTCTCAGCTCTACTTTGGAGTCACCCAGAGAGCTTTAAACACTATCACCGCTTAGTTCACCCAGGTCCAATTAAGTTGGCTTCTGAGGCTGCAGTGTGGGCAGGGAGTACCTTCAAAAGCATATGTTCTAAGAGCAAGCAGCCTCCCCTCAGGGGTGATGATTTAATTGATCTGGGGAATATTTAAAAATATTCATGATCATCTTATGTTACTGAAATTGAATTAAGTGATTTTAATGTGCACTTACTGCCTGGCACAGAATAATCCTTCAATAAATGTATTGACGATGTTAATTAAGGATTGCTCTGGTGACCTGTTAGGCACTTCTGAGACTGGGACACTGGCAAAACACTTCAGACTTGACTCCTCTCTCTTGCTGTCAGCTGGGTGCTAAAGATGATTGCTCCTAGACTAGCTCATACTTTGATGGGAAGCGAGGAAATGAGTTGCATTGAATGTATATGAAACTTTCTTCTTCTTCCTCTTCCTCTTCTTCTTCCTCTTCCCCTCCTTCTCCTCCTCCTTTTCTTCTTCTTCTTCTTCTTCTTCTTCTTCTTCTTCTTCTTCTTCTTCTTCTTCTTCTTCTTC